GAATGGGTACGAGAAAAGTATGAAGAACTTTTATTCCTCGATAAACGACGGTTAAAAGCTTTTCATCATGTACAAGTCCACCAATAACATATTTCTTGACACTTTATCAAACGGGTAAGATCCCTTAACATTAAAGAAGGAGACTTTGTATTAAAAGAAGTTAGCGGTACACCAACTGATCCAAGAGGGAAATTCAAACCTAATATGATAAAACCATACCGTGTAAGCCATTCGATTAATGGATATTGGTTGCGATGAATTGTCAACTAATAAACATTAATCTATTTAAAATCTATTACATATAAAAGTCTAGATAAACTTGTTCATTCATAATTCACAATCATGTCTAAATCAAAGTTTAGTTTTGTTTTTTCCCGAGTATACGTTTGAAAAAGCCTTATTTAATCGCTAGTAAAAATCGAAATAAGAGTAAAATTCTAGGTTTAAACCTTTTGTAAAAAACTACGGAATGAAAAACCTGATTTTGTAACACGAATACGTAGGCAATATTTTTTATTCTATATATATATATACATATATATATATATGCATATACATATATATATATGTGTATATGCATATATATATATGTATATGCATATATATATATATAAAGCTCATTTTTATTCCAAACAAAATTCAAAAGACATTGTAGAATTAGATAATAAGTAATTAAAAAAAAACTTATAAGTGATTTCACTTTAATAAAAATATTAAAACTAATAATATTGTGTAGCAACCTAAGGTTTTAATATTTCCACAATCGCTACAGTTGAAGGAGGAGTAGTTGATGATAGTCATTTTGGCGCTCAATAGAGTAGCTTTTAATTCCTTTTTCTAAATTTTCTTGCTTTTTTCATATAATCTTTCTTTTTTTCTTTTATTTTCCGTCTTTATAACTCATTTCTGTTTTTTCATTTACTTTTATGAGTTTCTCATGTTTTTCGTCTTAATTAGCTATTTTAGTTTAGTTTATATTCATTTTGTTTTTTTTTTTTGATGGAATTCTATTCATTTTGCTTTCTCCCTTACTTTTACTTAAATTTTTGTAGGTGAATTTTCAAAGTTTTTTTTGTTGTGCTCTCACGGTTGCGCACTCATTAATTCTAGGTCATGAACACCCAAATATTTGAAGATCTAGGTCTGCCCTCCTCGCGGGCATCATCGCGAGAGCATCGACGATAGGGATGCGTGAGAGCACTAGGAGATAAACTTTGCACAAGGGTGTATGAGGAAGCAATAAGAGCCGCGCACGTTGCAACACCACAATAGGGGTGCGCACGCGTAGGCCCCCCCTGTGCATGTGCGTACACGGGCCTGTGTGCCGTGCGCACGGCCTCCCTTCAAACCTTTACGGTTGTTTTTCTATATATAGCGCTTGACTTTTACTTTGTTCGGAGGATGACGATTTCACATGTACTTGAGACTTATTTCCAGATTTTGTAGAGAGAGAAAGTAGAGAGAGAAACTTTAGATTACTTGTTTTGTACTACAAATTACTTCTTAGATCTTGGATTTCATCTTCAATCAATGAAAATTTGTGAGAATTTCTTTCTTTGAATTTACTTTTGTTTGATCTTTCCTTCAATTGTTGAACATTTGATTTGATTGTTGATCTTTGGTTTGAAAATTTGATAAATTTGATTTTCTCTTTGATTAAGGTTTAAATTATGATGTTTGTGATTCAATTTACTTTGTTTTTCAACTCCATTATGATTTGTGAATACATTAGTAGCTACGGAGAAGGGGAAGCATGCTTGATTGATGAATTTTTCTAGTTTATGATTCTTGGTTGATTGAATTGTTGTAATTAAATTGGTTGACATTATTGTGCATGTGATTATTTTGATTAGGAGTGATAAACTTAGATGATTAATCTAGATTGCATAGAAAATTTAAAGGACATGAACCCTTGATTTGAGAATTGCTTTAATTGGTTGAATTTGATTGTGATTTTCCTTGCTAGTCATTCTTAGTGAACCATAGCTTGACTTACAGGAGATAGCTTTTGAATTCTATTAATTGAAACTATTGTTTGTCCTTTGCAATGTTTGAATCAATTATGTTATTCATCGATTATCATGATCATTGAGCTTGCATGTGGAACCTTTATCCCTAGTGTTTAGCATCTTGATTTTCTTAAATTAGTTAGTTGATTGAAATCTTAGTTACAACTCAATGCACATCTCATTCTTTGATGTAGCTTGAGCATAGGCTAAAACACACTAGTAGTGATGAGTGTCATTTATGACACTCATTTGGTTATTTTTAAGGTGAATTTCATGTTATTCTATAGCTCTTTTACTTAGCTTTTCCTTAATTTTACTCTTTTTTTCTTTTCGTTTGCATTTTCTTAGTTGGATTTCTATCTTTATGCATTTCTTAGTTTATTTCGTTATTTTCTCTTTTATTTGCTTGTTTTCCTTTATTTTTCAGGTTAAGGTCGTTATCCAAGTTTCCCGAGGCCTCTTCCTAAGTTTGGCATTGATTAGGATGTCTAATGTTCTCCATTTGAAGCTCAAGTATGGAGAATTACAAGTTCTTATTGTCCTTAAGCAGTGCATTCAAGCTGTGGGGGCATGATTTCTCGTGTTGAACCCACAAATATGGAGTTTAGAAACTGCAAGGTCCGGTTTTTTTCAAGAGCATTAAGTGGAGCGCACGAGGAGCATCGGCATGATAGGGAAGAAGGATGCCCTGTTCCCAGGCACGCGCGCGCGGGGCTGTGGCTCGGCCGCACGGCCTGGTGGTGCGGGCGCGCTTGTATGGGTCTCGGTTCCGTTCCCAAATTTACGCGGCCGCGATCTCCCTTATACTTGGTCGCGCCTGTATGGGTTTATTTGGGGACGATCTAACTAATTTCTCTTAGTTAGTTTTACTTATATAGATTTTCTTTCTATTTTTAGAGAGAGTTTAATTTTTCATAATTTATAATAGAGATAGGTTAGATTTTTAAAAAGAGAAACTCTAGTTTGTAGAGAGAGAAGTTCTTGATTGATGATTGAAGATTGAAGATTGATGATTCCAAGTGTTTTCTCCATTGAATTGAAGCAAGGTTGTAAGGATTTCCTTACTTTAATGCAACCTTAGTTTTGATCTCAATTTCTTTATTAATTGTTCAAGTTGATTTATTTTTTAATTGGTTTATTTTTTATTAATATGATGATGATAAATTTGTTGTTTAGTTTAGTTTTGATATTGATATTGATTTCCATGAATAGTGAGTAGTTTTCTTGCTAGGGAAATGGTGAAGCATATATGAGTAATGGATTTATGCTAATTGGGGGAAATTGATGGAGTTGATGTTGTGATTAAATTGGTTGATTGATTATGTGCATGGGTGTGTTTTATTTAGGAGTGATTAACCTAGTTACTCACACTAGATTGCATTGTAAGTTCACATTGATAAGGAAAATTGATTTGTGGCTTACATTTGTCGATTGAGTAGGTTTGTAAGTTTCCTAGCTAGAGTCTCTCGTAGTTGGCGCTAGTTTGACCTCTAGGAGATTGGCCTACCATACTCTCTTGATAGCTTAATTGGTTTTCCTTCGCAACACTTGACTTAGTCATCTCCATTACCAATTAGTTGAATTAATTACGAGTTTATGTGGATCCATACCCTAGTGCTTGATAAATTTGATTTCATTTTGATTGTTTGACTGGTAGAATAGACACACCTCACTTCATTGCTTCGAAATAGCTTATCTTTGACATTAGCATTCACCTCCTCATCCTAGTGGTTTGACCCTTACTCAGTGCTTGGTATAAGGGTGTTTTGAGAGATTACAAATTTTGTTTTGACCTAGGGTAGATTAGTTTTCAACGAACTAGTCTCCGCCCTAGATAAAAAATGGCGTCGTTGCCGGGGAATGGCGTGGTTGTTTGCTATTGTTGTTGAGTTTATTTCACTAAAATTCCAAAATACAAAAAGATTTTTCTCATTTGGCTACATTTGTAGCCGTGTTACGTTACTAATATTTCCCTTTGAGTTTGTGTGTGCAAGTTAACATGGGAGATATCCCAAGGGTTACATTAAAGGAATTGGGTGCTCCAGGTGTATACAAGTATGAGAGCAGGATTGCTCCATTATTAATCCCGGATAGTGACTTTGAAATCAAACCGGTAATGATAACTTTGATTGAAAGGCGGCAACATAGTGGAGGAGTGAATGAGAGCCCCCTAAATCATCTTAAGGAATTCGAGAAATATTGCAACACAATTAAGGTTAACGGAGTTGCTCAAGAATTCATAAGGCTTAAGCTATTTCCTTTCTCTCTAATTGGAAGAGCTTAAGAATGGCTAGATAAGGGAGTGAAGCCTAATTCTTTGAGAACTTGGGATGGAGTCACCAAGGAATTCTTTTCCCATTTCTTCCTTCAAAAGAAAATGGCGGAGGCAAGAGCTTTGATTCAAGGTTTCAAGCAAAAATCTAGTGAAAGCTTTTATGAAGCATGGGAGAGATACAAAGAGTATCAACGTGAGTGTCCTGACCATGGGATCCCCACTTACCTAATCATTCAAATTTTTTATGGCGGTTTGATTCCGCAAGGGAGGGCAAGATGCCAGAGCCAGAGGCCCAATCATGAATAAGACCGAGGAAGAGGTTGTAGGTATCATTGAGGATGTAGTTAGAAACAACATGGAATGGAAAGATGGTGAGAAGGAGTCGATAAACAGAGTAGTATAATAGGATGCTCAATGGAACAACTCAATGCTATCAACAATTTTGGATTTAGTAAAGGAGGTAGTTTCTATCAAGTATAAGCTCGAGAGCGCGACCTCACAAGCAACAATTGTTCCCTCCCAAATTAAGGGGAGAGGTACTTCTTCTTCCTCTAACTCTCTTCCTTCTTCTTATTGCATGATTAGAGAATGTTGGTTTTGTGATTTGTGTGGAATGAATGACCATGATGCTTCTTTTTGCCCTAATGTTCCTTGTAATGAATATGTTGGAAGTAGGAATTATCACAACCAAATGAACTATGATAATTATGACCAAAATGGCGGTCATAGAAACCATGGAATCCAAGGGAATTGTGGTAGCTATAACAACCATAGTTATAATGGTCAAAGTCATGGCCAAGGATATGGGGACTATAACCAAGGTTATGGTTAGTTATAATGGTCAAATTCATGGCCAAGGATATGGGGACTATAACCAAGGTTATGGTAACCATAATCACGATAGTGACCAAAATCAATGTAGAGGTAATTGGAACAATCAAAGTAAGGGAAATTCCAATCGAATGTTTAAAGAGTTGCTCCACTTGGATTTATTCCGAATACCCAAGAGCATAGTGATAATTTGTATGATCAATCATTTTCCTCTAGGAGTTTCTTGGAAGGTGTCATAGAGAAGCAAGCAAAATTGTTGGACATCTACATGAACCTAAGCAATGAGAAATTCAATGACATGTTAACTTACCATAAGCGGTTGGAGATCATAATTTCTCAATTGGCTAGTGAGTTTAAGGAATTTATAAATCATTCTTCTTTGACTTCACTAAGCTTAGATCCTAAGAGCCCTATGAATGCGATTGTGACTAGAAGTGGTAGGGTCCTTAAAAGTGAAATCTCTAAGAAGAGTGATGCTAAAGATAGTCCTAGCAATGGTCAAATTGAGAATGAGGAAGATGAGAGTACTCTAGTTAAGGAAGTCAATAAGGAACAAGTTGAGAAGGTGAAAGAGAGAGAAGGAGAAGTTTACAAGCCTAAGCTCCCTTACCACCAAAAGTTTAATAGGCACAAGTTCGACGAGCAATTTGGGAAATTTATAGAGATGCTTAGACAATTTCATCTTACTCTTCCTTTTACCGATGTGATAGAACAAATGCCAAATTATGCAAAGTTCCTTAAGGAGATTTTGAGAAGAAAAAGAACATGTGATGTGGCGGAAACGATTAACTTGACCAAGAATTATAGTGCAATCTTAATGAACAAAATCCCACCCAAGTTGAATGATCCCGAAAACTTTTCTATCCCTTGTGCTATTTATAAAATGCAAATTGATAATGCCTTGTGTGACTTAGGAGCTAGTTTTAGCATTATGACATACTCGGTATATCTAAGACTACATAAGGGAAAACTTTTACCTACCAACATTACCTTGCAATTAGGCGATAGATCAATTATGATCCCAAGGGGCAAGGTAGAGGATGTTCCCTTAAGGGTAGGAAAGTTCATCATTCTGGTAGATTTTGTAGTCCTTGACATAGATGAGGATTCTACAATTCCTATTATTCTTGGTAGACCATTTCTTGCTAATTCGGATGCTTTAATTGATGTCAAAAGTGCTAAGATCTCACTTAAATTGGAGATGAGGGAGTTGAATTTTATTTGAATGAAATCATGAAATATCCTTCTTCATCTCTTGATATTTGCATGAGAGTTGAAAGTTTAGATAATCTTGTACATTCAACGCATGAGCACTTGCTCACAACTAATGATCCTCTTGAGTGTGTTTTGTTGAACAAGGAAAAGATAGGTACTCCTAGTAAGGACATGGCTTTGTATGAAAACTTGTTAGATGGGAGTGTTGAAGGAAGTGATGAGCAAATTTGCATGAAAATTTCAAGCCCAGAGGCTTTGCAAGCGGCTTTGACCAAGGAAGGTAAAGGTGTTCCTATGGTAGAGCTCAAACCTTTACCATCACACCTTAGGTATGAATTCTTAGGCCCATATTCTACTTACCCCATGATTGTTAGCGAATCTTTGAGTGAAATCCAAGCTCAAGCGTTATTCAGTGTTTTGAGAAAGCACCGTGCTTTGGGTTATACCATTGATGACCTCAAAGGTATAAGCCCCGCTTTATGTACGCACCACATAACCCTTGAGGAGGGTGCCCTTCCTTCTATTGAACGACAACGGAAATTACATCCCCAAATGGGAGAGATAGTGAAGAAAGAGATTACTAAGCTTTTAGATGCGGAAATCATATTCCCCATCTCAAGCTCTAGATGGGTCTCACCCGTTCATGTCGTTCCAAAGAAGGGAGGCATGACCGTCGTCAAGAATGAAAAAGGTGAGCTTATTCCAACAAGGACGATCACCTGTAGACTATAGACGTCTAAACACATCCACCAACCTTCCTTTCATTGATCAAATAAGTGAAAGACTAACGAGGCACAAGTACTATTGTTTCCTTCATGGTTACTCGGGATTTTTCCCAATTCCTATTCATCTCGATGACCAAGAGAAAACTACTTTTACTTGTCCCTATGGTACCTTTTCCTATATGAGAATGTAATTCGTCCATTGTAATGCTCCCGCCACTTTCCAACGATGTATGATGAGTATCTTTGGAGATAAGTTGGAGGAGGAGATGGAGGTGTTTATAAATGATTTTTCCGTACGTGGAGTTTCCTTTGAAGCATGCCTCGAAAATCTTGAAAAGTGTTTTGTAAGATGTGAGAAAGTGAACTTGGTGTTAAATTGGGAAAAATGTCATTTCATAGTTGAATAAGGAACATTCCTTGGGCACAAATTTTCCCACACGGGCATAAAGGTTGACAAGGCGAAGATTGAGGTTATCGAAAAGTTGCCACCACCTGTTAATGTGAAAGGTGTGAGATCATTTTTGGGCCATGTCGGGTTCTATAGAATATTCATCAATGATTTTTCACTCATTGCAAAGCCTCTCAATGGTCTTCTTCAAAATGATGCCAAGTTTGTATTTGATGACAAGTGTTTGGAGGCATTCGATAAGTTGAAGAAAGCTCTAATCTCCACTCTAATTGTTCAAGCTCCAAGATGGGATTTGCCATTTCAGTTGATGTGTGATGCAAGTGATACAGCTATTGGAGGAGTTTTAGATCAAATAGTTGATAAGAAACTTCATGTGATTTATTATATGTTCAAGACTCTAAATGGAGCTCAATAGAATTACACTACAATGGAGAAAGACTTCTTGGCTAATGTTCATTCCTTTGAAATATTTCATTGCTATTTGTTAGGCTACAAAATAATTGTGTACACCGATCATGCGGCCTTAAAATATCTTTTTGGGAAGAAGGAATCAAAGCCAAGACTAATTCGTTGGGTGATAGAGCTTCAAAGTTTTGACCTTGAGATTAGAGATAAGAAAGAAGCGGAGAATGTAGTAGTGGATAATCTATCTAGACTTGAGGATTTTCATGTTAAAGATGATGGGTCTCCCATTGAATATATAATTTTATATGATTCTTTGTATGCTATAGATGTGAAGGAACTTCCATGGTTTGCTGATTTGGTGAACTATCTTGCTTGTAGGGAGTTTCCTCCTTCATTTTCCAAGAATCGAAGAAAGAAGCTTAAAAGAGAGGCTAGGAATTATTTTTGGGATGAACCAATTTTGTACAAAAGGGGTGTTGCTGGGTTGTTTAGGAGATGTGTTCCAAATAAGGAGTTACCTAGTGTATTGAAGATGTGCCACTCGGATCCGAGTGGGGGTAACATGGGTGTCTCAAAAACGGCTTCAAAGGTTCTCCAATGCGGATTATGGTGGCTAAATCTCTTCAAGAATGTTTGGGAGTTTGTCAAGAGTTGTGACCGATGCCAAAGGACCGAAAACATTTCAAAGAGAAACGAAATGCCCCAACAACCCATTCTATAGTTGGAAATTTTTTATGTATGGGGAATAGACTTCTTGGGTCCTTTTCCTACTTTATATGGGAATCAATATATCCTTGTTGCCGTCGATTATGTGTCAAAATGGGTGGGAGCTATTTCTTTACCTACAAATGACCATAAAGTAGCAATGAAGATGTTCAAGAAGATAATTTTCCCACTGTTTGGCATCCCAAAGGCGGTTAGTAGTGATAATGAATCTCATTTTGTGCATAGTGCCTTTCGCAAGATATTAAAGAAGCATGGAGTTAATCAACATTTTGGGCTCCCTTATCACCCTCAAACTAGTGGGCAAGTCAAAGTGTTTAACCGTCAAATCAAATTGATTCTTAAGAAGACGGTCGCAAGAAATAGGAAGGATTGGTCAGATAAGCTAGATGATGCCTTGTGGGCATATCGAACGGCTTTTAAAACTCCTATTGGCACTACTCCTTACCGCTTGGTTTATGAGAAGTCTTGTCATCTTTCGGTCAAACTTTAGCATCGTACTCTTTGGGCAATCAAAAAAATCAATTTCGATTTGGCAAGTGCAGGTGAGCAACGTTGGCTTGATCTCCATGAGTTGGAAGTGCTTCGATTGGATGCATATGATTGTGCAAGCATGTAAAAGACTCGCACTAAGGAAGTGTATGATAAACTTCTTGAGAAGGAGTTCAATGTTGGTGACAAGGTCCTCCTTTACAATTCTAGGATGAGATTATTTCCTGGGAAGCTAATATCTCGTTGGAGTTGTCCTTTTGTTGGTCAAGATTTATCAAGAACTTTCAAAGTCAATGGTCATAGGCTCTAGCGCTACCTGTGATGGATTTTTTGTGGGGGTTATTCATAATATGACTCTCTATAATCCACCTTGAAGGGTGGAGAACGTCAAGCTAATGACATTAAACAAGCACTTCGGAGGCAACCCGAGTTTCTAACCATTTTCGCTATTTTCCTTGATTTTTGTTTCTTTTTTTTGTTTCTACTCTTATTTGATTTCTTTTCTTGATTGTGTTTTTAGGTGATTTTGATTGGATTTCCAACAATTTTGGTGCCTATTTGAAGAAAGAGTGCTCAAGTTGATGAATTGGAAGTATGATTAAAAAAATTGAAGTTTGGTGGGTTCATGAAAATCTAATGTTGAACCCGCATTCTTGGGGTTTAGAAACTACTTGCCTCAACCTTCATCATGATCATTTCCTTTGTACTCACCGATGTGCTCACGAGAAGGGATTCAGAAGATCGTATACCCTATGGTGCGGCCTCACACCCCTTGTTGTTGCTCCTTAAACGCACCAACCTTCTCTCATTTTTTCTCTCTTGTTTTCATTTCATATTCACTTGGTTTTTGTTCAAGCATCATCACCATTTTCCTTCATTATTTTACTACTGAAATTTCATTATTTTTCACTTCATCTAGTTGCTTATTACTCTTAATCCCCACTCTAACACTTTTATTGTGATTTTCTATTTCCTAAAGTTGGGATTTTTGGGTAACCTTTGGTTTGAGGTTTGTTGCTTGCAATTTGGCATAATTGTGTTTGTTTGTGCTTTGTGTTCCATTTCTTTGTAAACACTCATCAATCTAAGGTATGATTTCTTCATTTCTATTGATACTAATGACAAATTTTCTACCTTGGTTGTTCATGAGTGTTTAAATTGATTTGGATATAGCCTCGTTATTGTATCCATATTGCTTACTATCTCCTTCATTTGTTGTGTAATGATGAAATTTTGGTGATTGTATGAACTTGTGTTCGATGATTTTGCTTGACCATACTATAATTTTGGCACCACCTTTGCTGAATTTATAGTTTGATTATTATATTTATATGAAAATGTTAGTGTATAGTTTGTTTTTTAATGATGGTTTAGAGTGTTGTTGCTCATGATGCATACTTGTGGCTCATGGTCCTTACTCACTAGAGCATTTTTCAATTATATGTGTAAAATGGTTCCTCTCCGTCGAGCTAAGAGGGCTAGATGGTCTACCTATAGGGAGGTGGTTCCTCCTCCCTTCCACATCACAAAGACTTATGGAATTGAGTTCACAAAGGAAGAGCATTGGGAAAGATTTGCCAAGCTTTCAACTCGGACTCTTTTTTCTACTGGATTCTATGATTTGTCGGCAACTACTTTGTTGGGTATCGATGGTGATGTGAGATTTTTGGCTTGAAAATTTGGGTTAGAGGAATTCTTAAGCCTTCATGCTCCCACCTACTCCCGGATTACTTTCGAATTCCTCTCTTCACTTGAGGTCTTTGAGGAGGATTTGGAAGGTGAAACTTCTCGAAGAATTTCTTTTCAAGTTTTCAACAATGATCATTCGGTGCCTCTTTCCTATTTTAATGAGTTTTTCAAGTTTCCAACTCTAAGTGAGGATGTCCCACTTGTGTATCCGGCATTTGAGGCTTTTCAACATGATAACAATTATTGTGAGTTCAAGTGGTGGAGGCATATTTCTATCGAGGACTCATATAGTCCTCAATATTCAAAAGAGGCGTCAATTACTCATGCGGCCTTGAGGTATATTAGCCGGCTTCTTACAAATGATTTCTTCTTCAAGGAGTCCCTTGGTGCTATTGCCAAGAGGGGTTGAGTTGGTTATGGCTAGCGGATAAGCCATTTGAACAGGGGGTAGCGGCCATTAACTTCGCTTCGCATTTGCTTGACCGTTTCATTGATATAAGAGATGGTTTCTTTCTCTCAGGAAGTATCCAATTAGGGTGTATGATTACCATTTTGATTCTTTCTCTC